AGGGGTTTAGGGTTTAGGGTGCTGGTCAACCCCTGATAAAGGCTCCCTTTACCCTGTTTGGGAATGATGTCATGGGGCTAGGCTTCTGACACGAAATACTGAACTCGAAATCCTAGACACGTGATCATCCATGCGCAGGGCTCCTCGCAGGATCTGCAAAGTAGATCCCTCAAGACGCTGACTATCAACACCCTGCAGCTTCATTACCTCCTGGGGCGTCTGAACGCCCTACGCCCCAACACTTGAAGGTCACTTGGGTGGAGAAGCCCCTGTCCAGCGGCAACGTGCTCGGCCTCCTGACGCTGGAGGACTTAAACCCTAATTCCCCTAAACCCTGAACCCTTCTTTCTTGTTTGACCTCGGTCGGTCTAGGGTCAGACTTGGGGGGTTCGGAGAGGACTGCGTAACTACGTAATAAGTAGACTTATGAGTAGCTTTAAAGGGACCCTAATTGGGGTTTATGTTACTTGTACTTAGTGGCTGAGTAGGTGACCTTTAACCTTTTGGGGCTTTTATAATCCTACAACCCTAAACCCTAAACCCTAAACCCTAAACCCTAAACCCTAAACCCTAAACCCTCAATTGGTTAACCTTTTTTGTGTTAGGGCACTCATCCCCCAAGTGTAAGTCTCAAAGAGCTACTTGAAAAGTCCCCCGACCCTCCAAGGACTCCAAGGAGGCTGGTTTAGGGTTTAGGGTTTAGGGTTTAGGGTTTAGGGTTTAGGGTTTAGGGTTTAGGGTTGCGACAATTAGTGTTTTGAGCAGGGCTTATATCCCTTAACCCTAACCGACTTCATGTCTATGCCCTTGTTTATCGTGGGAATGCGTCGAGAAGGAAGTAAGGTAAGCCATAAGCACCTGCTACAGTTGAGGGTCTAGATGCTTTGGCAATGCTAAACCCCCAAAACCCGAACCCTAAACCCTCAACCCTGAGTCTGGTTAGGGTTTGCGTCACGGTGAGTCCCTCACAGGGATTCTGGTAGCAACTGCAGGCGGCAAAAGGCGTTAACAAAAAACATCCTACGTCCCACACCCTCCTGCAGTCTTTTTATTGACCCTAAACTCTAAACCTTAAACCCTCAACCCTCAACCCTAAACCCTAAACCCTAAACCCTACCCTAAGCCGTAGCTTTGAGGGGCTGAGGCATGTTCGTAGTCCAAGGGATGGCGTGGCTTAGTTTGGATGACAAGGCGAGACCGCAAACGGGTGTAGGGTTTAGGGTGTAGGGTGTAGGGTTTAGGGTGTAGGGTTTAGGGTTTCGGGTTTAGGATGACAGTCCAGGGAACCTCCTGAGGAGCTTGTGGAAATTCCTGTTGAGCCGATTGCTGCTTCTAAGTCTGCATCTTCAGGGCAAAGGCTTGCTCCTACGCCTAAGGTGAGGACTAAGTTGTCCAGTTGGGCAGCAGCCTTTGATTCCGAAGGCGACGGGGCCAGTTCCGGGGTACGAGAGGTTGGCTTCCGGAAAGCCTGCTCCTCCTCCGCCCCCCAAAGCCGTCGTCGAGGCCTCCTGCTCCTTTGATTCCTGGCCCTAAGACTCCTCCTGAGGACCTGCTATGAAACTGTGGGCCGATTGCAACAGATCGTACCATGTGTGCCACGACACCGGGTTGCCTGCCATGGAACGTGCCCTTCGAGCAATCGGCAACAGCGTCGCCAAGCGGACCCAAAAACATGATAGATTCCATGATCGGCATGATGGTTATGGTGGCTGGAATTCATTATTGCGGGGGCCTTAATGGCTAGAATAGGATTTGGGGGGGTTTAGGTTTCCGATATCTATAAAGGTTACTATAAGGGTTCTGCATTGCAGGGGCCCTTAATATTCATAGTTAGAATAGGGTTTTTGGGGGGTTTAAGTTTCGTTTAAACGGGGTCTATCAGGGTTACGAAAAGGGTTGTATGTTGCAGGGGGTCCGTACTGGTTTGAATAGGGTTGAGTGTACATTATACTATGATTATAGAGTACGGAACCCCAAAATAGTATTGGCAGTCCTGTGGGTAACGACCTAGAGCCCAAAGCATAAAACGCTAAACCGCTAACCCAAAACCCCCAAGCCATACTTAAGTCCTTTCACAGACAGCCTGTAGAAAAAAAACTAAACCCTAACCCCCCTTTAAAAACCCTAAACCCTAAAGCCCCTTTTAAAACCCCTAAAGCCCCTAAAGCCCCTAAACCCTAAGCCCTAAACCCCCTTTAAAAACCCTAAACCCGAAAGCCCCTAAACCCTAAACCCTAAAGCCCCTTTAAAAACCCTAAAGCCCCTAACCCCCCCTTCAAAAACCCTGAAGCCCCTAAACCCTAAAAGCCCCTAACCCCCGTTTAAAAACCCTAAAGCCCCTAAAGCCCCTAAACCCTAAACCCTTTAAACCCTTTAAACTCTAAACCCTAAACCCCCTTTAAGAACCCTAAAGCCCCTTTAAAAACCCTAAAGCCCCTAACCCTCCTTCAAAAACCCTAAACCCTAAACCCTAAACCCTAAACCCTAAACCCTAAACCCTAAACCCTAAAGCCCCTAAACCCTAAACCCCTGAGGGCCGAAGTCCCCGTGCCTTCGACTGCAGGAGAAAGGCCTCACCTTCCAAGTCCGGTGAGCCGGCTGCAGTTTGGGGTTTAGGGTTTAG